ATTAAACTGTTGTGTTTATTTCTGGCTGGTTTATAGCTTTATCAAACCTCTTGATTTAATTTACTTTCCCAGAGCAAACAGCTGCATTTTACAATGCCTCATCCATGTACTCGTAGAGGAAGGTTTACCATCAGGAAAGTGATTCCCTCTTCGTGGAGACTGTTGGACATTGTTAAGAATCAGAGAGTGATACTCAGATCTAGTTTTTGAAGTTCTGCTGTGGAAGATGTTTATTGGCCCAGTTCAGGCACAATTCCCTTCATTTCAATATGGCTGTCACAAGGAAGCTGCCCTTGTAGAATGGGTGCAGCTTGACTAGTGAGGGGAGAAGCTGCATTCTATTACAAGTTGAGTTTGTATTCACATTTGAAAAATTTAAGTTATTCACAAAAGCATTTTATTCTAGAATATTTTGTTATGTCATTCAAATGTTGCACTTTTGCGACACCCTAACAAGTTGCATCCAATTTATACCACTTCTGTGAATTAATGACTTCCAAAAGATCTCATAATTAACAGCCCTACTCTGCTCTTCTAAACAAAGGGCTGTGGCTTCCCCTGTAGAGTCAATCTAGCTCAATAGGCCTTCCTCTTTTCCTGCTGCCTTCTACTTTCCCCAGCATAATTAACTTTTCCAGTGAGTCTTCTCTTCTCTTCATATGCCCAAAGCCTCAGTTTCATCATCAAGATAAGTTCAGGCTCGATTTGAGCTAGACACCACTAGCTCCTAGCTCAAATCAAGCATGTAAGCTGATGATTGAGCTAAGGTATATAAAACCTTTCAACAATTTTGTTCTCTTCCTTGTTAATAACAACGTTGTGTAATTTTTATGTAGTCATTTTTATTTACTTCATATTCAACTGTAATCTTGCTTTTCATGGCTGAAAAATCAAGTATTTTTAACCTATTTCCAAATTACAACTTCTAACATGTTTGTAAGCTACTGTGATTCTTCAGAGAAAAGCAGAGTAGAAATCTGTAACAGAAATTATTTTGCAGTGAAGATGAGAAATACGGGAGAGAGAAAGAAAAGACAACAACAGCCCAGTTCCAGGGAGTGGGAGCCGCACTTGCGGTGCACTAGGCCAGACTGGCAACTTCACATCCACCTGGGCAAGAGATGGATGAGATGATTGGCTCTTTGATGCACATGTTTGTTTCCACACAGCACCCATGGTGGATCTCTCATCCAAAGGAGAATCACCTCAGCAGGCAGAAGACTCCACAAATGAGCCCCACATCACCACAGTGAGTGACCAAAAGGCAGAGTCCCTAGTTTTCTTCTGGGCAGGTGGCTTCCTGGGGGAGATGGTCAGAAACCTTGTCCGGATTCCAAATAGTAGCTGCCATCTACATTGGAGTGGTTCTCTCATACAGGGAGCAGTCTTTGCTGGGGCTTGGCAGAGTAAAAAATTCTGTCACTGTGTGGCATCCGGTGACAGGGAACTCTATTTGCAAGATTTTCTAGGCAGAAAGTAGGAAATATTTATATCTCCAGTCTTGCCAGCTGCTAGTTTGATGAACCTAGAAGTGGATACTTCCCCTCCAATATTGTTGCCAGAGCTATTCGGTAACTTTGGCACCCTTTTCTTAGGACTTTTGCCCCTTCCTTGGCCCACAAGGTCAGTAACTGCTACCCAACTGTACTCTCTGTTCCTTTCTTTCCTTTTCAAGGAACCCTTTGGGAGAAAGCAGTAGGACTGAGTTTGGAAAATTGACTGAGCTGGCTCAGGGATTCTGGGACAGGTTGTACAAGAAGTAACTTATAAGGTGTGACAACCCCAGACCTACTGGGATAAAGTAACTTATAAGGGCTTATTGTTTCTTGGTCAACAAGCCTTAACATTAATCCCTAAATGGCTGCAACTCCATTATTTATTGTTTCTTGGTCAACAAGCTTAACCTTAATCCCTAAATGGCTGCAACTCCATTATTTACCCTCAAGTATTTATTACCCACTTTATTTTTAACAGAACAGTAAAATCTATGTTAAAAAAACAGGGAAACCTCCACAGTCCTAGATAGAAGCACAGCAGAGAGTGGAATAGTTCAAGGAGGCAGTATTGGCCAAAGCAGAGTACATACAGATATAAGTCCTGACAAGGGCATTGTGAGATAGCCCTTGCATGAACTGGCATTCTGAGCCAGCTGAAATCCCTGCCTCTTTCTCTGATCTTACTGCCTCCCCCTTTAATTCTATGGTAGGCAGAGCCCAGCAGACGCGACCGCAGCCCCTCTGTTGCATCCACCTCTTCCCAGTCAGGCTACCGCAACCAGAAGGATGCCCTACGCCATCGTATACTGCACTTGTCCGAGCTGTTGAGGGTGGAAAGGACCAATCGTGATGACAACACCTCCTACTATGTGGAGCTAGTGAGCAAGGCTGACCGAGAAAAGGCTCCCTCCATCCGTCAGGCCTTTGAACGCATCAACCAGCGCTCCTCAGCTAATATTGCTCATCTGGAGCAACGCCTACTGGATAGCTGTGCCCAGCTGAAGAAGTTAGAGCAGAGGGTTTTTGCAACTCCGGACAGTAGCTCCACTTCCACATCTACCCTACAGCAGCATTCTGCCTCCAGGAGCAGCTTTTCTCGATTGTCACCCTTTCACCTACCCAGGATCCGGACTGCAGAAACCGTAACTGCTGAGGAAGTTCATCTCCCTCCCCTCTCAGAGAGCAAAGAAAATTGTCCTGTCCCAGAGCCAGTCCCAAAACAATTCCTTGAGGATGAAAGCAAGCAGAAGCTTGAAGAGTTGAAGGCTCAGCTGGCAGATCTAAGGGAAGATCAGAAGGCACTGGAGGATGAATGGCACAAGATGGATGAGGCATGGAAAGCTGACAAGCAGAAGATGATGGAATTTCTGCAAGAGGAGAAAAAAAGGTGGGTGCTCCCCTGCTAAGTGGATTCCAGTATTCATGAGTGGCTCATCAGCTGAGGAAGTGGGTGCACCTTCAGATGAAACTCCATCCTGTTCAATCCATGAACTGCCAGGACTGGTATCCCATCTCACCTATAACTGTTTTCAGAGTTGGCAGTTTCTGATATCCTGTCTCCCTTTCCCCCATTCAACTTTTCCAGTTCCAAAGTCTGTGTCCCTAGCTCAGATTTTCAGTGCTCTGCCTTTGGTACTAGAACAGTTAGTGATCTACTGATAGATATGAAGACTTTTTGTTCACTAAATTTGTATCCCACTTTTCCATTGAACGGGGGATGTGGTGGCGCTGTGGGCTAAACCGCAGAAGCCTTTGTGTGCTGCACAGTCAGAAGACCAGCAGTTGTAAGATCAAATCCACGCGACGGAGTGAGCTCCCGTCGCTTTGTCCCAGCTCCTTGCCAACCTAGCAGCTCGAAAGCATGTAAATGCGAGTAGATAAATAGGTACCATCTCAATGGGAAGGTAAACAGCGTTCCGAATCTAAGTTGCGCTGGCCACATGACAACGGAAACTGTCTTTGGACAAACGCTGGCTCCACGGCTTGGAAATGGGGATGAGCATCGCCCCCAAGAGTCGAACACGACTGACTAAAATGTCAAGGGAACCTTTACCTTTACTTTTCCATTGAAAGTGTCACATCTGCCTCATGTATAACAAAAGGATCTTCTCTTTTGTTCTGCATGTAAAACGTCAACCCCAGTGTCAAAACTCAGATTGATCTATATACCCTCCACCGTGTCACTTCATTCAGAGAGGCAAATCTCTTTCACCTCTAAAGCTAATCTGATATCATTGTAGAGGCAACATACCTTGCTTCTTTTTTTTATCACCTACATGCTTTTCTTGCTGCTTTTACATTATATGGGAGACCAGCTATTGCTTGTCATGTATGGAAAACAGGAACAACCACAATGTCCTTGGCCAAGGGAGAATTTTGAAAAACTTCCGTACAGAGGACAAAGAGCCCCATTCTCTCTATACAGAGTCACACAGAAATTGAAGACAAAGGTAACATTTTTAGAGCAGAGGCCTACTGTGGTGATGAAAGGAATGAAGTACCTTTATTGTACCTCTTTCCCTCCTGGCCTGAGCCCAGGGGAGGAGGGCAGTATTTCTGTGGTTTCAAGCATGGAAGAACAGCATGGATTGGTTGTTGCCTGTCATGTCACTGGGTATTTTCTATCCATACTAATGTTCGTAGTAGATTTGTACATTTTAAAAATGTCCTTTCCAAAAATCAGCAATAATTAATATAGCAGTGAATGAGAATTAACAAGCTGGTAAATGAACAGACAACTGTTTATGCAACATCATTATTACTTTTTTTTAATGGACAGCAACTGAAAGGTGAGGGTGATGATGAATGGCTGAGCTGGTATTTGATTTCCCAGTAGATACATCTGTCATTCCAAGTATGAAACAAGAAGGAAGCCCAGTTTCAGAGTCAGCACCACATGTTTGAGGACCCTTGTGCAAGGCATCCTCACTGGTCCCATCCTCTTCATGAATTAACCTTCTCAGTGCAGTTGGGGTCAGCTGCTGGTGATCCTCTTCCCCATTAGTCCCATTAGCTGCATGACTGCCTTGCCAAGAGCTAAGGTGTAGCCAATGACATCTATTCCTTATCTCATAATCTGGGTTAGAAAGAGAGGGCCTGATCTGTTCAGCTGCAGTGGAAAAAAAGGAGGAGTCCAGGGGCTGTTGTCAATTCTTCACTTCTCCCCTCTCTTGTGCTAAAGCATAGACCCTTGGCTTTGCCAGATTTGACTTTACCAGATTTGGGGTGCTACTGAAGAATTTCCTATAAGCTCTATTTTTAATATTACATGTTTTCATCCTAAAGGAGTGACTAAAAACTAGCTAGGAACTGCCTGGGATTGTAGTTAGCGTAACTATTAATTCAGCATAGCCATGGTGATATCTACCCTAGTGTCATAGCCCTGGGATCAAAGTAAAGTGGTGACATACTCTTCCAATGCCAGATCCAAAAACCTGCCACCCCACCCTGCTTGATTCCTATGTCTTGAGTGTTGACTTTCACAAAGGATTAGCACCAAGAGACTAGCCCAGGTATTCTTTCTCACTATTTTTAGGTTCAGCGCCTTAATAGTTTGCAATCTCTTTGCGGCAATGTAATCCAAAACCCATGACCCTCTCTCTATTGGGAACCCATGCTATGACCCTTTCTGTTCCCTAGGATGAGCCTACTCATCCCCTTCTAACCAATGCAAGTGTCAAATGAGGAAGCAGAGCCAGCTCAGTCATAATCCATTTATTACCGGTGTGTTAAGCTCAGACTGTAATAAGATCAACCAGTTGGCTTGAGGCCGGGGGAGTGGGGAGGTGAGAGAAGGAGGAAAGCATGGGACCAGACTGTAGAAGCTTTCTTAGCCCACCTCAATTCTGCTACACTTCTTTAGACATTATAATCTGGAAGTACAAGTGAATGACATGATTCAGATAAATCAAAACGAGATCACCAACCTCAAACAAGACCTGGCCTGCACTGAGGAGAAGATGGTCTACCAGTCTTATGAGAGGACCCGGGACATTTGGGTAAGAAGTCCCATATATAAAAGTCCAGAATGTATAGGGGGCACAATTATGAAGACCAGGGAAGAAGACAGTGGAGTGAGTTGTATGGCATTCCTTGTGACAAAGTACAGAGTTAGAGCCAAAGAGAATTATGGCATATTGTGTGATGGAATAGGCTACAACAACCAGCCTTAGATGCAGCGATATATCTCTGGGCTGATATGGTGTACATTATATTGACAGTGCCAAAGTGAGATGTCTGAAAACTCAGAGGGTGCAAATAATTAATAATAATATTCATTAGGATGGAGAAAACATCCTGCTATCACTCTCTCTCCCTGAAGGACATTCCATATTTCTGGATGGCACTGCCCGCTGAAACAGAGGAAGCCCAACCTGGCTCTGCCAAGAGGTTGTTAGGATGAACCAGAGCCGTGTTTCTAAGAACCCAGCTACAATGCTATTATTTTCAGCAACTTATATCTTTTTCACATCTTCCAATGCTCATAATAATAATGATCATGTTGCGTCAAATCAATTCTGACTTATGGTGACCCTTTTCAGGGTTTTCTAGGTAGAAAACTCTTAGAGGTGGTTTACCATTCTCCTTCTTCTGGGGGTGTCCTGGGATGGTGCATCTTGCCCAAGACTTATATAGGCTGGTAACTGAAGGCACAGAGGGGAATCAACTCTTAACCTCTGGCTCTGCGGCCAGATACCTAAACAGCCGCCCATAGCATATAATAAATGGGATTTGCAAAGAGGCTGGTGTGCTTCTGCTCAAGATTCCCCATTCCAGTCCCCTGCCACATGTTTTCCACCCTTCTTCCATCTGTCAGCCAGCATTCTGGCTCCTGAACATTTCCAGTTTTTGCTGGGTTGTTCCCTCTACAGAATGCTTTTTTCTAAAAGGTGCTTTTGGAGGGGGAGGAGTTATGCCTGAAAAACTTGCCACCCCACTCTGCTTGATTCCTACGTCTTCAGTGTTGATTTTTTGCCAAGGGCTAACACCAAGAGAACTGAGACTCCAATTTGTATATAATATGACCAAAGTGCCAAAAAAAAAAAAAAACCCCAAAACAAAACCCAAGGCTATGATGGCAAAACTGCCTATCCCAAGTGAAAAACAATAGAAATACATAATAGAAAATTAGCAAGGCTTAGATGTGGTAGTGCGCCTAGCCACTGAAAAGTGGCCAGGAAACTGACCTCCTGCCTTTTCCTTATCCCTTTGGCAGGAGATGCTGGAGTCCTATCAGACGCGTTTGGCTAAAATGGAAATGCAGCAGCAGGCCCAACAGCAGGAGGCAAGAGAGCTGCCCCAGGCCAATATCTACAAACTTTATGGGCAACTCATGAATCTCCTGCTGACTATTGCTGCCATTCTTCTAGTGTGCGCCTCCACTGTTTCAACCTGTGCTCTTCCTCTTCTGCGTACACGCTGGTGTGCCATGACCACTTTGCTTGTGATCATTGTTGTAATAGCTGTTTGGAACTATTTCCCTCCTACTGCCCAGCTAGAGTGGAAAACATGGCTTCCTTCTGCTTAGTAACAAAAGAACAAAACAGCATGCATATTTTTGTATGTATTCCAGTGCTTTCTGATGCTCCCTAATGCAAGCAAACTTCTTTCTTAAAAACCTGTTAAAATGCTGTACTTTATCATCTTTCTAACTTTTTAACTTGTCTATGACTGCATCAAACTATATGTGATCATTCATTCCATGTAGGGTCCAACTCTGACTTAGGTGTGAAGAGCTTAGACGTTGGTGCCCATACGTGATAAAGAGCTTCAGAACTGAAGAGAGAAACAGAGGGTCTGCATACCAAAATTAATGCACCCACAATTTGAACTAGTTAGGTTGAGTATGGAGAAAAGTGAAACCAACAGGTTTACATTCTAATGTCTCAGGATACAACTAGACAAGCAAATGTCCCTGGCTGGATTGGGCTAAACAGGGTCGCTTTGAGGTGTGGTGTGCCATTTGGGGCAATCCTTGCATTTGTATGCAAAGTTTGGGTGGTTTCAGGGCAGAGTATCACTCTGTACCTTAACCCTCTGCTAAAAAAAGTTATTTGTAAGTGGCATGTCTGTGAATCGATGTGCCACTTGAGTGAAACAGTGCTGGATTTTAAATGAAGCAGAAAATTTTAAAAAGTAAATAATGAAACAAAACAAAAAAATACCCCTCCACACCCTCTTCTGTCTCCCCCTCTCCAAGGGAATGGGAGAAAGTTGGATTATTTTTATTATTTTGGAAATGTATTAATAGGTACCATACTGCCACTATGGCAGATCTGTTTTGATTGGATACTGTTGATCACACATGCCAAAACTGAACCAAAATGGAGCAATCCACATTAAGAACATAGTAGACCCTGCCAAGGACCCAAAGTGGTGCACATGGGCATTCAGAAAGATTGGGCTAATTCCTGAATGTCAGGTGGTTGCTGGAACATGGATTGACCCAGAAGCAGCCCAAACCATAGGATGAAACACCATAGGACTGCATCCTCAGTTTAACTGATCTGTGGTTCTGGTTGCATACTCATCATTTAGAGGCATAATCGGAGCCCTCCCAACTCAATTCGTTACCTGAGGTAGATTATTGCACCCTAATTAAGAAGGACCATATCCCCTACATCATTTTTCTTGTATAGCTATTTTGCATGACAGTGAGATTTACTCAAGAGAAAAGTCCCAGTAGAAAGTGAGTCTGACTTATTTTTATCCCAGTCTTCTGTTCTTAGGAACGCCCCCGAACCTAACTTTTCACCATTTTACCTTTTCTCATGGTTGTAGGCATGCCCTGGCATCCAGTAAACACTCCAGTGCTTGGGTGTTCTCTTCCCTCCACCCTGTTCACAGTCATTTTTATAAGATTGTAGTCATCACCCACAGGTACAGATATACAGCAGTCAGTGCTGGGCAAAGGGTATTATTTGGCTGCATGATTTATAGGATAAGAACAGAGCTTTAATACAGAAGTTAAAAATCTTTATTCGCTAGCTCACTCACTGCTGCAGGTTGTTGGTTTTTTTTTCTTTTTTTCCCCATTGCGTTTCTAGCTAGATGTCCCAGGGACACACTAGGCTTTAGTATCAAACATTATGTACAGAGTGGTTCCAGTTGAGCCATGCTGGGGAGAAGCACAGAGCCCCTGGGATGTCCAGGTTGACTCCTGCTGATTCTCAGTGGTTCTGCCCCATGTCAGAATTGCAGCCTCTTGACAGAACTAGAATCCAACAAGACATCCAACCTTGCTGAGGCACTGGCACCTTGGAGGGACACAATTTATTATTCCAGGAGTCCCCCTTCAATGCACTCCCTGGCTCCAGTGAAAACTTCATAGGAGGGGCAGAGCAAAAGGAATCAGAAAAGAGCCCACGAGGCCAGACAGTGGATTCTGTCTCTCTGGAGACACATCCATTTGTCCACCCCTCCACGGGATGGAGTGCACTGGGGCAAATGTGAATTCTGGGGCAGTTTCAGTACCGAGAGGGCCTTGGATAGACTTGCTTTACAAAAGCTATATGCTTTCCACAGGGAACCCCCTTTGTTCTGTCCCCTCTGGAGAGACAGAAGGACAAGTGGGAAACTAATCAATGATCACAATGGCCAGGAAAGAGTGTTCAGGTGACACCCGATGACCCAGGAAAGCTGCAGGAAGATGGGATATTTAACTATGGAATTCTGTGCCCTTTGCCCCCATCCAAAAGCAGTTCTGAGGAGCAAACATAAACATTTCCCTCCCACAACCACAAGAAAAACAGCAGCACCCCATGAGGGGTACAGTCTAAGTCCAAAGGAGATGGTCTGTGGAGATGGCAAGCCAGCATTTCATATGCTCAAAGGGAATCCATACAGTGCAGGAGGGAGGGGGGGTTCTCACTGGGGCTCTCCTGGGAGGCAAAGTCCTGTCTCGGTGTCCATTCAAGCAGGGAACTCTTATGCCGGTGATACAGAGGAATTCGAGACCGAGGAGACCTCAGTACGGGAAGTGGAAGATAATTCAGAGCCATCATCCACCTTCTTGCCAAAGAGTTGCAATATGCAGTTACGGAACTGTCAGGGGGGAGAGAAAGAACAAGAGAGAGAGAGAGAGAGAGAGAGAGAGAGAGATTAATCCAAACTGATTATGAGATCTGCACTTCTCCATAACTCTTAATCCATATAATTCCTGGACTTCCAGTCTCATCTAGCTAGCTTATAACTGTCCCTGTCCCCTTGAGGACAGAGCAAATAGAATGTCTGTTCATGAAGACATAGATAATTGGGTTGTAAATGGTGGCGCTCTTTGCAAAGTAGGCTGGCAGAGCAGCTGCAAGGGGGTGGAAGGCATAGCCTGGGTTGGCAGCAGCAAAACAGGCAAAGACCGTGTATGGTCCCCAGCAGAAGCAATAGGCAATGATCATGACAACCACCATCCTTGACACTTCCCTTTCAGCCTTCTGTGTAGATTCTGACTCTTTCTGCTGGGCAGCAACCTGTGCAAGAACAAAGGGAAAAAGTGGGGTTAGAGAGAGCATATCTGTCATTCCTGCACTTGGCATATTGACTACACAAGCATTTAGCCCACTGCTGCAGGAATGGGTTGGTTCACTCTTAAAGACAGCAGTCAGACAACATCTTGGCTAGAGCAAACTAGCCTGTCCCCAGAGTGGTCCTGTCTGCACCTTTCTGGCCCTGTCAGAGGTTTCTATGTTTTTGGTGTGAGTAAGATCAGTCAGTTTTGGTCTGTTTTCAGTGTGTGGGGTCATTGGAAATGAACTAAATCGAGCCTTCAGCTTTTAATTTACCAATATTGTGAAGAGAGCCACTGTATAATGTTAGCAAATTAATTACTTCCTCAGCTTCATGGAAGTGAAAAAAAGAGCAGAAAATATTCACTGCATTGCTTTAAAGACCTAAAAAATGAATGGAAAGCAAATGCTTATTAGGGCAGCACAGCACAATGCAGTCTGCTGTCATTTTTCCTGCCATCAAAATACACATTTGCTTTCCATTAGTCTTTTGTCTAAAAGTGATGCAGTAAATATTTGCTGCTCTCACACACACTTAAAAACTTTTTTTCAGTTCCTCCGCCCCTCCACAAAACCGAGGCTGTAATTAATTTGCCTATAATGTGAAGTGGCTCTCTTCTTCAATCTCTTCATGATACTGGTAAACTGACAGCAGGCTGCTGTGGGGCAAATAAGGTCATTTGAGATCTGTATGCCACCTGAATGCAAGGATCGCTCCAAATGGCATACTGGACTTCCTAGGGACTCTCCTTAGCCCACTCAAGCCTGCGCCTAATGCCACCTGCAGAGAAGCCCTTAGTGAGGGATTCAGTCATCCTAAATTGCAGGCGTTGCAAACAGTAGAGGGAGAATCCTACAGAAAGACCTGCCTAATAAATTTCAGGTAAGTTATCTTCTCCCTAATAGAGGAGAAATGAGGAAGAAATCCAGTGCTAATGGGGAACAAAGTCTTGGAAAGCTAATAAGGGAATTAAGCAGAGCCATGGATCTACTAAAGAAATGGAGATGTGGCCACATTACTGGCATCTTGATAGGCTGTACAGAGGAAGTCTTACTGTGAGTTGGAATCTCACCAGAAGGCTGCTGCTATTGAAGATGGGATATCAGAGGTATTGGTAATAAAATTTATATCTGATTAAAAAAATTCTAGAGAGTTTCGAGTTAGGGGACTATAGTGGTATAATAGCTTGAACTCAGGAGCCAAGAAAGGGAGTTTCAACAGAAGGGACAGGATTGAGGGTGATGGGTTGTTTCTGAAGGTGTAGGCTGGGGAGAAAGGTGCATTGTTTCCTACTGGGAGTCAAGTAGGCAGAGGCTGAACGTTGGGGAGTAGGCTCTGCTTACCGCACGAATAGCCAACCACACTTGCAGGTAGCAGAGGATAATGACAGCCAGTGGAATGAAGCAACAGGTGATCATGAGGACAACCATGTAAGACTGAACACCAGGGTCATCGCTGCCGCTGAACACATCTGGACCACATGATGTCTTCAGACCATGGGGCCAGTACCTAGAGGGCAGTTTGGTAAGTGAAGAAGGTCCAGAGTTTTAAACCACATTTACATTTCTCCTAGCACTATTCATGTTAACATCTGAACTCCCTTCAGGAAAAAGAAAGAAACCAGAGAGGAAGCATTCTGTTGCAAATTAATCTTCTGACGAGCATGTCATTCTGCAAGTCACAGCAGTTGACATCAGAATGGCTTTATGCATAGCTTCTGCTGAACACCTTTTTATTGGTTTTCTGCTGACCCAGTAATCTCTTTTCCATCTGAAAAGACCTTCTTCAGTCTCCCTCAGAGTAAAAGAAACAGAGGAAGTCCACATTCTGTTTCTCAGTGCAAGCAATTGTGCAAGTCATCAACCTCCCTTCATAATCATTCTCAGTAGGCACTATGTGCTAATTTGACAGTTTGTGGAATTTACCCTATAGAACACTTGAAGTGGAACAGAACCAACTTTCCCCCATATCTTCCACCTTCCTTGCTCAAATCATGCTTCCATGCCGAGCGACACGCAGAACCCTCTGTTCTCCCCATTTATGAAACTTGCCTAGTCTCTCTTTGCACTCACCTACTCCAGCCAAAAATGGGTGGTGCTGTCCAGACACAGGACCACACCCAGGAGAAGACAATGCCAGCCATAGCCAGTTTGGCATCAAACTTGACATTTCCAAAAGGCTTGCAGACAACGACCCAGCGCTCCCAGGAGATAATGGCCAAAGACCAGAGGGCAGTGATGCCTGTGGGGAGTGAAGCAGAAGGTACAGCCGTCATTAATAGGGAGTAACACAGATCCTGGGTAGATATTTATATCATGAATTTGAGAGGCAAGAATCTATCTCCTTCCAAAGTAACCCTGATTCACCTGTAGTGCAAAGTAGCTCTCCAGGAATATTGGAAATGAGATAGTTGTACTGAAATTCTCGTTAAACATTCTGGAAAGTGAGTTTTGGAATACATTGATTAGCACCAGGAAGGGAACCTGAGACAAGGAAAGAATGAAATGCCCCTATCCTCAGAAAATTCTTGTAAGGAGCAGCATGGCACAAGGCAGATATCATCAGTAGACAATGGGAAGTATTCACATGGGGAAGCAGGTTAAGCACACAAGCCAGGAGTGGTGACATATTGAAGGCAGTGAAGTGAGGCAGCGGAAGCAGGAGACACAGTAACTACAGTATGTAAGTCATCTGTCTCTTACCACAAGCAGACACAGTGTATCCCTCCAAAACGCACATGGGATGGCCAAGGATGAAATAGCCAGAAATCTGGTTGATGACACTGATGGTGCTGGCAATGACGGTCTCACCCAGATCAGCTATTGCCAAGTTCACCAGAATCCAGTTGAGTGGATGCCGTAGCTTCTTGAATTTGGCAGTGGCTACCAATACCAAACCATTGGTGAAGACTGAGGCAATAACCACAAAGATCATCCAGAGAGAAGTGATGTTGTAGACCCAACGTGGTGCAATGTGATAATTTGGACCTTCAAAAGGGCCTGCCAGAGGAGGGAAAACGTTAGGAATTAGAAGGATCCAACCAGCATAATAACAGTCACAGGGGACTCCATCAAGAGGTTACTCTGCCAAGGCAAGAAAGGCATCATCTTATTCTTTTTCAGGGTCCCTTCCCTTGCAGACAATTCAGGATTCTTCTACAATTCACCCACCAAACAAATAGATGAGATTACAGCTCTCTCCAGTTTGCGCTCTAAACTGTTCCCCAAAAACCTATCCTGAGTAAAACTTCCAGAAGCTTTTCCAGCAATCTCTATCAAATCATATTTCAGGAACTCTTGTCCTCATAAAATTGATTATCTTAGTAGTAAGCAGCTAGAGGAAGTCCCCATCCTCTGCCCTGTGAGGGCTTATCCCACCCCTGGTGAACTCCTTTGGCCGGTCCCCTGAGTTGACGTCCCCGCTGGGCTCACCCCGGGTATTGTTGCTGTTGGTGTAAGTGAATACGCTGTCCCTCGTAGTATCATCATCATCATTGCGCCGCCGGGCAGCAAACACGGCCACATCCCAGGCTTCTGTCATGGCCTTTGCTGCCTCCTTTCCCGCCTTCCACCTGCACTTCTTGTTTGCTGCCCTCTTCCCACTCCTTTGCTTCCTCTTTCTTTCCTCCTGTATTCCTGTCCTTTCTCGCTTGTTTTCCCCCTTTCTCTCTCTACCGCTCAGTGTCTCCCATCCAAACGTCTGTTTCAGGGTCTGGGATACTGCCCATTTATATACCCACCCCCCCAGGTGGATTAAGCCCCCGGCTTGGAGAACAAGATCCCCAAAGCCTTTAAACGCTTTATCTCTTAATTGGGCTGCGATTTGGCCCCCTCCATCTCATTTTCCTGTTTCTCCCCCCACCCCACCCTGTTTGCTGCAGTATGAACAGCTCATGCCTATCCTGCGTCACCCTGGGTGTATTTGCTGGACACTTCAGGTGAGGGATGAGCATGGAGGGGGCGATTAGAGAGTCAAAAGAGCTCAGCTAATCCCTCTCAGAATGGTTCTTCCTTGCAATTTCCTAATGGCCCATTTTTCTAACTAGGCTAAAAGGTCTTCTGGCCCAGTTTTGCTGTAACCAGAGACGGCTGTTGGGACACTGTTGGAAAAAAAAGCTCCAGCCCACCATAGGCTTGCAGCGCATGGTGCCACAAATGGAAATGTCAGCTATGTGGGTTTCTTTGCACAAAATAATGAGCGTATTTGTTTGCTGGATTTAACAGGCCAAGTTCAGTGGCGTTGCCCTTTTGCCCATTCACATGGTCCCCAAACAATGACTATGCAAAACAACAAAACAGGTGCACATTGAGGAAGCTCATGTCCACATCTGAGCAAGAGCCACGCCAAAGGCCAGCAACTGTGTGAGGCCAGGGACCTCTTCTGGCTCTCTGGCCCTCTTGGGATGGCAAACAGTGGGAGAGGTAGAGATCACACATTTGAGTGTTACCGGCCAGCCAGATGACTTATGTGAGCAAGCCAAGCCACACAACAGATGTTGAAAAATGTCACCTACCAGCTTCCTTGACTAAAGGATGGCAGCTGCCCTATTCTCCAACCAGTACTACTACAGTATTTAGTTAAATGGAGTAGGCTGGGAAGTGTTGGGGGGTGGGAGAGAATCCAAAGACTGCATAACATCTTTTGTTTGAACTTGGCCTCTTATTTTCAGACCTTCTCAACAACTCTCCCTGCCTCCCTGGTGCCATCACTGTATGAACTTGGAAGTAACCAGTTATAAATACCATAAATGGACAAAATCCTGTTGTTGTAACTTTGTGCTGTTGGATCAGGTGCCAGAAACAATCAATTTATACCCATGGAAAGTTTCCTCTCAAATTCTAAGGCGCTCTAGGGCTCCCCTTTGTTCTGGGAAAGCCTTTGGGAGTCTCTGGATTGGGAGAGGAGCTTTAATGGTAAAAAACAAAATCACCACTTGCTTACCACTGGCAGGATCCGGGCCACTGAGATTTTACTGCAAAGAGATTTCACTGCTAAAGCTCCTCTGCATCCTCAGGCTCCCCTCTGCCCTTTCCCAGGGCAAAAGGAAGCTTTGGGATATGAAAGGAAACTCTCCATGGGTCTAAATTAAATGTTTCTAGCACCTGATCCAGGTTATGCAGGTGCACAGTTACAACAGGATTTTGCCAACATGTCTTTAGAAAGTTCTATTCCACTAAAGAAGTGATGTTGTATTCTTGCTTTAATGTATATTTCTAACATAGTGAGGGATAATAATGGAACTGTAATGTTTAACTATTTTTTCTAGTAAAATGGCTTAAATACTGGCTTCTGCTGCTCACTCGATTGTGCAATGTTGTTGAGGATCCTCAGGTGACAATACACTGGACAGGAGGCAAATGTATTTTATTTCACAAACTGGGGACTTACAGCATTCATATGTTTCTATATAAAAAAAGAGAGAAAATCATCAAATTACTTTTCAGAAATGAGAAAGTAAATATTTACTTTAAAATTATATTAATTACATAGTTAATTGTTGTTGTGTGCTGAGCAGTTAAATCAATTTTTCAGCCGTTTTGAGGTGGAAACAGGAACAACCATTATTCCAGCACCTACTGTCTATAATACATCACTAGAATATACCATCAACAGACAACCACTAGTACTGCAGATTTCAGATGTGAGACGCGCTTTCCAGAATATTAACGTTCGAAAGGCAGCTGGACCAGATGGAATCATGGGACGAGTTATTAGGGGCTGTGCTGCAGAATTAGCTGGAGTTTTTACGGATATTTTCAATCTATCCTTGTTGCAGTGTTCAGTCCCCACTTGCCTGAAGACATCTATTATAGTGCCAGTCCCCAAGCAGTCAGCTGTGGTGTCTCTCAATGATTATAGACCAGTAGCTTTAACATCT